CAGGGATGCCCCAGCACTGGGGACACTGCTCTGGGGGTCCAGTGTCTGGGCTGGGACCTTGGTGCAGTGCGTCCTGAGTCTGGGGACAAAGGGCCAAAACTGAGCTCAGCCCAGCGGTGTTGGATGCTTCAGCAGCTCACACAGCTCCCGGTTCTGAAAGGGCATCCTGGCCCTGGCTGGAGGTGGGGAGATGATGGGAAATTTGGTGGCAGCCACATCTCAGGGGGTTCAGATGGACACAGGGATCAGCCCTTGCCCTTAGAGGGACGTGCAGCTCTGGGACAGTTCCCCAGGGAAGGATGGCTCCATCTTAGGAGCTTTGGGCTCAGATAACCAAGCTGCATGGGGGGGGGGGATGTTGGATGGGGACCTCCAACAACCACCTCCATCACCACCATGGCTGCGCTTGGCTCATGCCCTGGTGAAAGTGGCACTAGGGTCACACCAGGTTTGAAGGGGTCATCAAGCAAGTGGTCCCACAAGGCCATCTCCAGCTTTAATAAGTCCCTTTTCCTAATCAATGTGTCAGCGTCAGCAAACGGGTCTTGCCCTGCTCCTGTAGCCAAAGGGAGAAGAATTTTCGGGATGCTTTTAATTAAAGGGGGAGTTGAGAGGGTGAGGATGCCCCACGGCGAGGAGCACTAGCTGGAGTCAGTCTCACTTTGGGGTCCATCCAGCCACTGGTTGGGGTGGGGGTTTGCCTTACACGGAAATGGGTTAAAAAAGAAGAAATTGGAAAGAGCACTGAAATCCTCCTGTTGGCAGTCAGAGAGAGTGCACAGCCCTGCAGCCTCCCCAGGGGAGCAGGTGGAGTTGTGCACACCTGTACACGTGCACACCTATCCACCTGCACAGCTGTACACACCTGTACCCCTGCACCCCCTCCTGTGCACCCCCATCCACACCCCTCCACCCCCACCCACACCCCCAGACCTGCCAGGGTCTCACCAGGAGCGGAAATCCCACCTGGCTGGTTTCCATTCAGACTCTCTAAGCCTCGGGGGGTGGGAGGGGGGGAGGGGGAAGACTGTGACTTTAATACATAACTTAATTTTTTTTTTTAATAAAAAGGGGAAAACCAACCAACGTATTGAAGCCATCTGCGCTGCCTCTGACCCCCCTCTCCCCCCCCACTTAGCTATGTGTAGGTAAAATATATGGAGACATAGCTGTATATACCACGAGCAGTGCATGTGATGCAGCCACGTAGCAGTAGCAGCATGGCCCCAGCCCGGCGCTGCCACCGCCCCGGCACCGCCGTCCCCATCTCCGGCCCTCAGCGAGGGAGGACACGGCGACCAACGAAACTCATCGCTCGAGAGCTCTCCACCGCCCTGGTTATTTTCCCCCCCTCAATAAAACGAAAACCCCCAGTAAAATCATGTAAAAGAAGAAAATAATGCCAAGAAGCAAAGCATGCCAAGCCCGGCCCGCCAGCGGAGCCGTCACCGACGCAGCCCGTGACATCCACGTGTGTCTTGTTCCTGTACCTCGTCGCGTTTGTCCCATGGCCGGGTAGCGGCAACATCGTGGCTTCCGTGTCCTGTGTCGCGTTGGTGCATTGATTTCACCGTCAGAGCAACTTTAGAAGCCATATTAGAGCACGGTGCGCCGGGACCCCGCGGGGGCGGGCCCGCGGTGAGCCGTGACCTCCTTCCCCCCATGTGTCCACCGTCCCCCTGGTTTCGTGGGGCTCAGGTTGCCAGGACGAGCATCGGCCACTGCCTCGGTGGCCACAGATGCCGCTGCCATTCCGGGCGAGGGAACGGGGCAGCGCTGGGCACAGACGCCGGGGCCGATCTGCCGGTGGCATTTCTGTGATGGAAAAGCTGGTGGCGAAAATGTTTTTCGGAGCAATTTGGGTTATATCTGCCACGTCCAGTCAGGTGGTTTCTGGTTTTGGGGATGAGAGCTGGCATTCCCCTCTCCTGGCTGCCCCGCGGAGCAAACCCAGCTGTGCCACAGAGATGCTCCCGGGGTTAAAAGGAAGAGAAGCCGCGAGTCTTGGCAACAGGCTCTGCTTTCTTTTCCTTTTTCCCCCTCAAACTGGAAGGGAGGAGCCAGCTCCTTTGGGAGTCGCAGGCTCGGCCATTCCCGGACCCCCAATGCCGGCCCCGCTCTGCCCTGTCCCGGCCCCGCAGCGCTCGGCTCCGGCGGAAGCTGCTTTTAACGCCCCTTCCCCTCGTGTGGACTGTGTCGTTCCCGTCTCTGATCGTTCGATGGTTATTTTGTAATGATCTCTGTCTCCTTATTAAAGAAACGAGCTGAAAGGAGCTGGTTCCCTTCTGGTCTTGCTGCTGGGGCTGGCGGGGCATCCGCGGAGAGGGGCAGGTCCCAGGGTAGGGACCCCAGGGACGGTGGAGGGAAGGAGGTGTGGGGGGAACCCCATGAGTGCCCAGGTCTCCCGAAACATGGAATCATTGGGGTTGGAAAAGCCCTCTAAGATCATTGAGTCCAACCATTCCCCCCAGCACTGCCATGTTCACCACTAACCATGTCCCCAAGCGTTACATCCACATGTCTTCTGAACACTTCCAGGGATGGTGACTCCACCACTGCCCTGGGCAGCTGTACCAGGGCCCGACCAGCCTTTCAGTGAAGACATTTTTCCCAATATCCAATCTAAACCTCCCCTGGCACAGCTTGAGGCCGTTTCCTTTTGTCCTGCCCCTTGTTCCCTGGGAGCAGAGCCCGACCACCCCTGGCTCCCCCCTCCTGTCAGGGAGTTGCAGAGAGTGAAAAGGTCCCCCCTGAGCCTCCTTTTCTCCAGGCTGAGCTCCACCAGCTCCCTGTGACTTGTTCTCAGCCTTGAGCCCTGGCCCTTGGCTGAGTGTGGCTGGCCCAGACATGGGGCACAGGTGGTCCCCACCAAATTCTTCCCCCCTGACAGAGTCTGGTCCCTACAGTCATGTTTAGGTCCTGCCCTGCTTTGCAGAAGCACTGGACACCCCCAGATCCCAAGGGAAGAGCTCAACCTGCTCCAACCACCTCTGAAGTCTGGAACACACACAGGTTTCCAGCAGCCTCACCTGGGACAGAGGATCCCAGATGTGACACCATCACCTGCCCGTGTCTTTGCCACACTTTGCCCTGGCCAAACTCCTGAGAAGAGCAAACACAGGACTTGGCAGAATGGGGGAGATGGTCCTGACCCCCAATGTGGTTCCAAGGAGCAGATGGGACCCTCTCCCTTTTGCCTTCCCACTGGTGAGAGGCTTTCAGGGATTTGCATCCCAGTTCCTTCATTTCAGCTTCCCCTGAACAGGCACCTGTGTTGTAGCTGCTGCTGTAGCATTTGTGCTTTTATGGATGATGGACACTGTTATGCCATGAGAATTTTGGGAGAAACATGGAATTTTAGTCCAAATAACTTATAATTCCAGAAAGATGGAAGCAAAGTCAAAGCTTCTATTTTATCAACTCTTATTTTATTCATTTATAAATACTGTTGTGTTTACAAGCATCATAGCTGTGAATATTATTCCCAAACTTTCAAACACACTTATAATACTATATAACAACAACCAGTAAAACAAATCATTCATCTCAGGGTTTGAAAGGCCACTCAAAAGTTGCATAAAAATACATTCTCTCCCCATCTCGTCAGCCAGTCCTGCTTCTCCAAGGAGTTTATTTACAAAGAGCCATCATAAAACTTGCAGCCACAACAGGCGGGTTCACCCCAAGCAATAAAAATGAATTCACCCCAAGCAATTGCTTAGAAAAAAAACAAACAAACTCGTGTTCCCTAAGGGAAACCACTTCTGGCAAATGCTCTGGTTCCAAGAGGGATCAGTTTTAAAACCTGCTCGCTCTGCACCCTGTCCCACGCGCAGGGTTCAAGGTGTCCTGTTTGTCACCTCCTCAGTGCACTGGTTATGTCAGGCATGAAGTGAGAACAAAAAAAATGAATTCTCAAGAATTTGGTTTGCAATTGCACCGTCATTGCGAAACGCTCACAGCTTTGGCTGATCAGGGACACTGAGCTGTGGGGGCCCTCCCCCCTGGCTGGGGCTCAGGGGGGAATCCAGTGCTAAGCAGACACTTCAGCTAAAGTGGTTTGGCTTTGCAAGGTGCCAGTCAGAGGAACGAGCCTCCCACAGCCTTCCCATACTGTTCCTTAGGAAAAAAACACAGTGAGTGCCCTGCTAGGAAGGGGCAAAACATCAGTGCGGGATGGGTTTGTCAGATTGGGTTGAACCCTCTCCCTAAAACAGACACCAGGCTTCTTCCTGCTGCCAGGAACCCGCCTCGTGAGAAGAACAGGATCTTTAGTGCCAACTCTCATCCTCACCATCAGCTGGTGAGCATCTCCTCTGCACGGCACAGAAGGGACTGGGCTCCTGATCTCCTGATCAGAGCCAAGAGCCCGAGGCTGGAGTGAGGAGCAGGTCACCAAGAGAGAAAACATCAAGAACGGCAGAAGTACTCACATAAAGAGTGCACCAAGAGGGAACGGCGTGCAGGGGAAGCATTGACTGGATCTCAAGACTTAAAGCTGTTAAATAGAGCAGGGTTAAAATCAAGGAATATAAAAAGGATGCCTGGCTTAGGCAGTGCTCTGCAGAAACCCTGATGCCTTTACCAGCTTTGGTCTCTTCCTCCCAAAGCTCAGCAGCAGAGGAAGGGCCTCAGTGTACCAGGAGAAACGGCACCTAACGCCACGCAAACGGCTCCACCGGCTGAAGAGGAACCTCTGGCCAGAGCTGCCTGGGGAAAGATGGCAGCTCTAGGAAGAGCAAGAGAGGTGGAAACAGGCAGGACAGCGAGGGGAAGGGGGAAAGATGGAGAATTGGGGAGGGGGGGGGAACCCAAAGAGAAAAAAACCCAAGGGAGAGAAAAATAAAGATGCTTTCTGAGGCAATAACCAGCAAAAGGTTCCAAAAAGCCCAGGATTGCCTGATAAATTTTACCCTGTTGAGCAAGCTCAAGTATTCTGCTCAAGTATCTCATCTCTCTCTCCCATAGCAGAGAGTCCCCCCAGCCCACAGTCAGCAGAGCTGCCAGGGAAGGTGGGCAGAGCTGCTTCATGGCCACCTCCAGGTTCAGTGACTGAGACTGCAGCCCTTGGCCAGATGGAGCTGGGAGTCCAAGGACAAAGGGAATAAAAGGACAAAGAGGGAAGGATGTAGATGGGACAGTGGTTTGGATACAGCAAGATGTCTCTGAGAGGGAAGGTATTGTTTGAGAGGAGTCAGTTAAGGGGAAGCTGAACAGACCTGATGACAGGTCCCACAGCATGGAGAGAGGAGCCAATGCCCATGGGGAGAACAATTCCAAGTTGTTCTGAGTGCATATAAGATTAAAGAGGGGTATTTTTAGAGGTTTCCTTCAAGGTCAAGGCTTATCACAAGCTTTTGACAGGTCAGGAGACTTTCATCACAGTGATTCAGTTACCAGCAGCTCCTTGTCTGTCTGACACCGACGCACCCTCACCTTTCCAAGGTGTGTGGGAGGACAAGTGATCACTGCTCCATGGTCCTCTGCCTCGGAATCCAGCTGTGCCAAGCTGCTTCACCAACAGAAGGGTGGGTGGGAACAGGACTCTGGCATTTCCCCTCTCTACAAATTCTGCTACAAATCCAAGTGAGGTACCCAAAATACCAGCCCAGACTCCACTACGGGGCTCTGCCTTCATGGAGACAGCAGAACGTCCCAATGGCTGTTAGGACAGGGAGGTTGGTTTCTGGTGTGGGCACAGCTCCCTGCGAGGTGATTCATGCTCACACGTGTGTAAAAGCAGCAGAGGGTCTCTAAGGGTTCAAGCTTGTCCTTCAGAAAGCTCAGAAGATACCTCCTGTCCCAAGGAGCAAGAGTCAAGGTGCAAATGGGTGCTACTAATTACAGACAGGAGCCCTGGAAGAACACAACGTGACATGGAATCACCCAGGCTGGGTGAAAGGGAGGGTGAGGGATAAGGGTCTGATGCCAAGTGTCGGTGCTGATGTTACCGAACAGGTTCAAAATCTTAAATAAAGGACTGGGTCTACTGGGGCAAGAGGAGGAGAAAGTCTCTGTGCAAAGCAGCCTGTGACAGACATGAGCCCAGGTGGCTTTCACAGCATCACATTTAGCCAGTCCCACATTTCAGTGGGTTGATGTGCATCCTCAGAGTCCCAGCATGGGTTCACATTTCCCACACGTACAGGGCTTGGATGTGCTGGATTAGTTTTTGAGGTGTCACTTTTTACAGTAGGAGCTTCCCACTCCAGGTCAGAGTCCGACACCAAACACTGGGCTTCTGGAAGAAGTTTTGGCAGCTCAAACCCAGTCCTCACATTTCTCCCTTGACTAAAATGTCCGAGATACCACAACATGCTTAAATTAAAAATAATAAAATGGCAGGGGGTGTGTTGGAGGAAAATAGGGGCAGAAAGGGAATGTACAGCAAAGGGCAGGGCAAGGCAGGTGTGACATTGATCCCATGGCTGAAACACTTGCTGTACGTGACAGATGGGAAAGGGGGGGGAGGGCTCGTGGTGGGGTTGGCAGCTGGTGTAGGGCCCCTCCTCATCCTGCCTTTGCTCAGGATTCCTATTTGGAGAGTTTGCTGATGACACGAATGAGGGCTCCATTCTCATCCTTCAGCCTTTGGTTGTCCGACTTCAGCTCTGTCAAAATCTGCAGAGAGACAAAGACAAGGTGGGATCAGAGCTCAGCTCAGACGGACCAGAGGGGACATTGCATCCCCTCCACCCAGCACAATTCCATTTCCCTGGAGCATCTCCAGAGCTTTTACAAGCTGGTTGCCAGGCGTGGAGGGGTGAGAGGGGACTCGAGCACAGCAGAGCCAGGGAGCCCCGAGCCTGGAAGCCCGTGGTGCAAAGCAATGCCACGGCCCCAGCAGCAGGTCAGCACCAGGCTGGGAGGGCAGGAACCACTTCTGAGTTGTTTCACCCCAAACCTGTGCCCAGAGGCTAATTAGAGCTCAGCACAAACTATAAAGCTGGTTTTCCTGCTTTGGTTTTTTCCATTTTGCCAGGACTAGAGAGGAAAACAAAGGTCTGAAATTCTCACTTAGGACTGGACCCTGCAAAATCTCTTTAGAATACCCCCAAATCTCCTTGGGACCCCGCAGATGTGTAACACGTGCTGAGGACAGAGGACTGGTAGAACACACTGACACTGGAGGTACCTCCTGGGTGCTCAACCAAGGGTTACAACACAGACAAAAGGCTGAGCACTTTGGAAATAGAGAAGACATAACTCCAACAAGACCCTTCCAGCATTTCTAATTGGCATAAACCCTCCCAACTTCCCATGCTCCCCATGCTGCAGGCGGGTGACCCTTAGTGGACTGTTCCTGGCTGTCGGGGCACCAGGAAGAGACTCCCTACCCCCGTCCTGGTGTGAAAGACAAGGGGTCACTCCCACCACAGGTGCCAGCAGACCACAGGGTGACCTGCTGGAGCACATTGGGGGACAGCAGGGTCACACACAGGCATGAACAGCACCGGTATAAGCTCAGCCATGACTTCTCTCTGCCAAGGTGAATCTTGGAGGAATTCCCCCAAACCCAAAATCTGCACTAAATCTTCTCTTTCCTCCTAAGTTGGAGTTTCAGCTCTGACCACAACTCCTGCTCCCCTCCACCTGCAGCCCCTCCACAACCACTGGCACAGAGTGCAGGCAGTTCCTGGGGCAGTGCTGGAGCAATTCCCTCCTTTCACAGTCAGGCCAAGCCACAGTGGCCCCAATACTCCCAACCCCATCCCCTGTGGGTGCAGGTGGTGGATGCTCCAGGCAGGAGGTTTTGCTAGAGAGGGAAGAGGGGAATGGTACCACATGGTGGGATAGTGGGGGTAAACTGATGTGCTGGGCTGGCCAGAGCTCCAGGTAGTGACACTGGAAGTGTCTCCCTGGACCCAGTGGGGGTGTGACGTGCATCACCATGGCTGGGCTGTCACCAGAACAGCACTTATGGCTCCTTACAACATTTCTCATGGCCAAAGGAGAGGCATTGCCATCATCACGTGCTCAGGAGCTCAGAGACAGGGCAGAGCCCTTGCTGTCTCTGCACCTTTCTGCTTCCTCCTGAGCTTTACCCAGGGCTCAGCCCGGTGCCTCCCAGTGCCCTGCGACAGCTCAACCACCCACTGGAGTCTGCGGATGGACAGTCCTCGTCCTCCCCTGCCTGGAGTGGCTCAGTGCCCATCGCTGTGATAAGGGGGGTACAAAGTCCTGTCACAGGATGCCAGAAACAACTCCAGAGAGACCCACCCTGGTCCCACAGCTCACTGGGAGCTCTGGCAGCAGCTGTACCTCACGCATGGGCTCCAGGCAACTTCAGTGATTTATTTAAAAATGAAGAAGCATAAGTGCATGTAAAATAAGTGTCTCTGAAAAAGTTTCCTGGTTGTATCCCTACTCCCATCAGTGTCCAGTGAGCCTTTCTGAAAGCGACACATCAACCCTACACAATTTCACCCTTCCTGAGCCAAGGGTGTTCCTCCCTTTGAAGCTGAGTGGCCTCAAGTTGGGTAAAATAAACAACATGTCAACAGGCTGGGGCTGGAAACTACAGCTTTATAGGTGTCTCAGGTGCGGTGAGGGGGGATGTGGCCTAGCCCCAGGGGATGGCAGGGCTGACAGGGATGCAGTGTTGGTGTAAAGTCAGTTTTGGTCTGAGCAGCAGGGCTCTGTGTTACCTGTGATACTGGAGAAGGTGGCTCCTCAGAAATTATGTGGGTTTGGGAAAATGGGATTCTTTGAAAAGCACTGCTGCTGCCAGGGCATGGTGAATGTGAAACCAGTGGCATCATTGTACAGCTGTGATGCCCACAGACACCTCTGAGCCAGGGTCTACATGTGCCAGCAACAGCCTGTGTTAGACCTACTAAAAGAGTTGAAATCAATCAGTGGAGCAGCATGTGGCTCTTCCCCAGCTCGAGCACTGCAGGGAATAGCAAACCTGAGTGAGGAGGGAAGGATGAACCCGGTCACAGCTCAGCCAGACAGGTCACCCCTGAGCAGGGGGGGATGGAAGGGAAGTGATAACGCGGGCACTTCCCGGGAGGAGAGGAGAGGTGACTTGCCGGTGGTGAAACATCAGTTCTCTGAGTCTGGAAATGGTTTTGTCCAATTTTCCCTCTCAGATCTCAAAGCACATGGGGAAGAAGAATGACTCATGGCTTGTGAGAAGGAATGAGACAGGGATGGGTTGGAGGATACTTTTGCAGATTTAAAACAGAAAGGCAGTGAGATCATTGCACCTGACCATCTGCACAATCCAGGGCACACAGCACGACACTCGACTCTCCCAGCCCCTGGGACACACATGTGGGCTTGAGCTGAGACTCCTGGAAAGGGGAAGCCACAATTCCCCTGGTTAGTTTGTTTCTATGGCTAATCAGCCTTGATATAATTTGTGTGCTAAGAATAGATTTTTTTATACCGCGGTGCCACTTCCAGCCCACAAGAGCACAGTGCTTCTGTGTCTGAAGGGATCTGAATATCCCTACTAACCTGCAAAGGACAGGCAGGGCCCCGAGAAAGGAGCAGATACAGCTTTATTTTAGCACAGAGCCAATGAAGTAGCAGGAAGGGATGTAACTTAGCTGTGTGATGTGCTAGGGGAAAGCTTAAGAAAGGGTCATCTTTGGGTTTCAAACACTAATTGCCCTGCACTGGATTTAAAACAGAAGATGGAAACACAAAGCACTCCTGGTCCAGCTCCTGCTAGGTCCCCCATCCTGCCCCAGCCCACAGGAGGCAGGGGGGATGTTGAACCTGTGGGCTCAGACTCAAAAATCTCCATTTAAAAGGAGGGAAGGAGCTTGTCCTCTTTGCTCAAGTGACCAAGAAAACCTGCTGAGGACACCTCAGTTTGTAGTTTTTCTAAAAATCCCCTTTCTGTCTAAAATGTGCACTTTTCACAACATCCCTACCAATTTATGACACTGTTCATCCTGACTTTGGATTATCTGATTTCCTGAGTGCCAGCTTCTCCCTGAACTAAGTCCAATTAAAAAAGAATTCTATTATGAGCCAACATATAGCATAAACCATCTATTTTCAGATGTCCAGGGTCCAGGTTGGACGGGGCTTGGAGCAATCTGGTCTAGTGGAAGGTCTCCCTGCCCATGGCACGGGGATGGAATGAGATGAGTTTTAAGGTCCCTTCCAATTCAAACCAGTCTGGGGGTCTATCTCCAGGCAGGGTACTGGGCATAGGGCTGCTGGCACTGCCAAGCCACCCCAAAGCCATTTCCCAGTGCTAAGCTGGCGAGGTTGGCAGCACTGCCAAGCAGAGCGAGAGCCAGCGGGATGAGCGGAGCCTCCAGCAAAGCTCTGCCATGGCAGCAGCACCATGCTTTTGGAATTTTGAGGATTCTTTGCCACAAGCTTTTGAGCCACAAGCTTCACCAGACACCCTGGACAGCAGGGAGGCGAGGGAACAGCCCGGCCAGGGAGCGGAGACCTGCCTGGAAGAGTGGAACAGGGAGGCGAGATGAGCCGGAGGGAAAGCAGCTACAGCTCCTCTGATTCTGAGGGTTTGGTGGGCAGAGAAAGTCTGGCTACAACCCGGGTCAGAGCCCTGTTCTCAGCCAGCAGTTGCTCATTCATCTGCCTCAGGGTGTGAATCTGTTTGAGCTGGTGGAGATTCTGCAGAGAGTGAGAGGAGTGGATAGAGAAATACAGAGAGAACATCACGGAGACAAACTGGCACAGAAATGTGAATTTAGTCCACAGGGAGTGAAAGGAAAAAAGAGAGTAAAAGAAAAATTAGTAGCAGTGAGTGCTGGATAGGGAAAGCCTGTCAACACACTGAGGATGTTTTGATAACCCTCCCTTTCTCCAGGGGCTCCCAAAGCCTTAAAAAAGGTCAAATAAAGTGATTTTCCACCAAAAAGCAGGATTATATTCTAGTTTACCCAGACAGCCCTGGGACTTGGGAACTGCTGTGAGACCTATCACCATTGACTTACCACCTACACAGGCTCTGAAAGCACTGCTGGGAACTGAGAATTTCTTTAAAACTTCTTTTCTTCATGTTTCTCTAAAAGTTAAAGCAGCTGTGTAGAGCAAAGAGCGATCAGAGCTTCATGGGAGACTCTAAAGGCACAGACTTGAAGCATCTGCAAGTGTCACTGTCCCACAGCAGATCACTGAGACAGGTACTGTGCCTGCTTGTGTCCCTTGTTCCTGAGTGATGCTCCTGGATCTGCCAAGGCTCAGTCCCACCAAAATGTTTGAGGTTTGGGGAGGTTTTTCACCCCTGCCCAAATTCAGCTCTTCTCTGGGGCTCAATTTATCTCTGACCTCCAGAGGTGGCAAGTCTGAACTTTAAGTCTCTCATTTTAGCTGGAGGAGTCAGAATGAGAGCATCTCCCACAGGAGAGAGGTACCAGCCTGGCATTCCTGGTGACAAAGGCAATGGTGAGCACAGGACAGTGCAGAGATTGAGCCCCACGCTGGGGCTTGCAGAGGTACAAACTGGGCACAGATACAAACTGGACACAGGTACAAACTGGGGCTTGCACAGGTACAGAGGCAATGGGAGGTAGGGAACAGAAAAGCCATGAGGAAAGCAGAATGTGGAAATGGTACAAGCCAAGCAGACATCCCAGTGCCACACGGAGACACTGTTGCCAGTGATGAGAAAGCTAATCCATGTGCTGGACATTGACACCAACGTGGGTGCCAGCAGATGTCAGGGCTGTGGAGCTGCTTCCTGAGCCATGGCCTGACCCTCCTTCCTACTCAGAACTCATCAGGCAGAAGGGCCATGAGAACAAGAACCCCTGCTGAACAAGAGCCCCTCCTGCCTGGTGGGGGGAGCCCCAGCACTGGACAGGGGAAGGCAAGAAGGGAAATATCAAAAAGAAGAGTTGTAAGTTCAAGTGACAAAATCCCAGTCCTGAACCAAAGTAGCTCCATAAAGCACCATGCTCCTCCCCATGTTCTCTGACCTGTGAGCTCACAGCAGCAGGAGGAAATGGAGGGAAGGTCCATGGGGAAGGGGATTCCTTTTTACCATTTCATTAGCAGAAAGCGCTCCAAGGGAGGTCACTGTCTGTCCTGAACCAGGAGCTGCACAAATAAATCTACTGCATCATAAAGAAGCTGCAATGACCACCCACCCAACCTGCACGTCTTAGGTTGCCCAGAGAAGCTGTGGCTGCCCCATCCCTGGAAGTGTCTAAGGCCAGGTTGGACTGGGCTTGGAGCAACCTGGGCTAGTGGAAGGTGTCCCTGTCCATGGCAGGGGGTGCAACAAGATTAGCTCTGAGATCCCTTCCAACCCAAACCAGACTGGGATTCCATGATGACCCAGAGCTGGCTGCAGCTGGCAAGGAACCTGCTGCATCCCAGGACATTTTGTCCAAGGGCTCATTCCTGTACAAAACAGAAGTACTTCGTGTATGCCCCATCCATCAGCTCCATTCTTAGCTGCCATAAAGCACTACCTCTGCTCCTCATGAAGGAATCAAGACACCCTGTTGAAATGCTTTGCAAAACCAACAGAAGTAAGGTGGGGAGTGCAGGGAGCCAGCAAAGTATGGGGCTTGAGCCCCCTGAGATCATCAAACTGACAAAGCAGCTCCTTGGACACATCAATGCAATTCTGACACTGGATAAATCAACAGGTCCCGAGACAGAGCTACGGCCAACAAACTGCAGGAGAGCTGCAGGGACGCTTCAGCAGTGACATCTGCACTCACCACACCCCATCCATCCATCCATCCATCCATCCATCCATCCCTTCACCCGCCCGAGCTGTGCTGGCTGCCTGTGCACCAGAAGCTGCCAGAGGATGGTTGTACTGGAAGAGTCACTTCTTTTGGTGGTACCAAAGGCAGCTGCGGTCACTTCAGACTGGAGAAGAGAAGCCTGAAATTAGACCTCATTGGGGTTTGCAGCTTCCTCATGAGGGGCAGTGGAGGGGCAGCTCCGATCTCTGCTCTCTGTGAGCAGTGACAGGACCCCAGGGAACGGCTGGAGCTGTCAGGAGAGGTTTAGGTTGGATATCAGGAAAAGGTTCTTCCCCCAGAGGGTGGTTGGGCACTGGAATAGGTTCCCTCAGGCAGTGGTTACGGCCTCAAACCTGCCAGAGCTCAAGGAGTGTCTGGACAACGCTCTCAGGTACATGGTGTGACTCTTGGGGTCCTGTGCAGGGCTAAGGGTTGGACTCGATGATCTCTGTGGGTCCCTTCCAGCTCAAGAGATTCCATGATTCTACGATACCATGGACAATAAGCATCCTCTGTTTTACCACAGGGCTCACAGCTGGCAGAGAACATCCAACATATGTAAAATGAGGTGTTGTGCTACGTGAGGTGGAAAGGACTGTGATCATTCCAGAGACCACCTTTGTTTTTCCACACCAACATAGCATGAAACCTCAGCATGGTCCCATCAGCCTCCGCTCAGCCTCAGCATGCTGCACAGCCCACAGGAAGGATCATTTATGTAAAAATGTACATATGCTGCAGGTAGGCCAGGCTCCTATTTATCCAAGAAACTCAGCAAAGGCTGGGAAGCTGGGACTGAAGCCAAGAGTGAAGACCAGGATCTGGATGATACTGCTGTGATTGCTTATCACTCTGCTTGATACTTGGCTTAGCCAAAGCAGGTCTCTCAGTTCAGCTGTACTCGCCTTCAGTTAAAGGATTTTGTGCCTGCAACACTGGGGGAAACAAAACCGCCCGGAGCATGCAGGATGGCCGAGGCCAGGAGCTGCTACAGAATAAAGAAGCTTCTGTGACCTTCAAGAAAAATTGCTCTGTTCAGTTGGGACCTTGGGCACTTGGCCCTGAATTCAGCTCAGTGCAAATGTTAATTTTCTTTCTCCTGTCTCAGCCAAGGTTCTGGATCTCCAGTCAAATTCTGCAGTTGCTCAGGGAAATGCTGCACCACTCTGTCACCTTCGCAAGAGCAGGTCTGAGGAGCAGCTCTGCCACCAAAGTTCTTGAGATTGCTGAGCCCGTCCCATCCTCTGCACTTCTCGATGGCTTTGTTAGCAGGGGTTACACTCAGGACAGGAACAAAGCTCATTGCCTCGAGCACAGCCTGAAGTACAAAGCATTTCTGTCACTTGTGCCTCCTCTTCCTCGCAAGGAGAGGAGAATCCTGGCCAGGACATCTGATGTGTGGAACTGGATATACACTACCTGGGATCAAGTAGCTGGATGTGAGCCTTGTTGGATCTGTTCGATTCAAAGACTAGTGGAAAGAATCCCCCAAACCAACCTGAGACCTTATCACCTGGCAAGTTTGGTTGTTTCCAACTGCTGAATTACCTTCCATGTTCAAGGAAACTGGTGGATTTGCTTATTCCTTTCCAATTCCTTGTTTATTCCTTCTGACTCTGCTTGACAGCTACTCAGGCAGCGCATGGAGCAGGTATGAAAGTCCAACCAGAATTAACAGATCTTTTTCCTGGCTCAATTCCCACACTGGGGACTAACAGGGATGCTCTGTGGAGGTTATCTCACTGCAGGCAAACACAGCAGGGCTGACTCTCCTGCTTCAAGGCACGATGAGAGTGGACACAAAAGTGCTTTTCATATGCAGAGGTCCAATTCAATACTTCTTTCTTCAGAAATGTTATACTCCTTTTTATTGAGTGGCTGTCAAAAAAGACATGTCACAGTGCCCTCAGGTACTTACTCATCACGTGCTGAAGGTTTTGCAAACACTAGTGAAAATGCAATAGTGCCTCAGAAGAGAGATGTTACAATTTCTTATCTATTTATTCTACTAAGAAAAGGCCACTTTGGTTATTTGATGCAGCAAGAACAGTGTAGAGAGCAGAGTCAGCACCACTCTGAGGACCTGAAGCTCATTTTCAGCTGGACCACAGACTCCTTCAGCCCACACCTCTTGGGGCAGTGTGAGAACACGTGCAACCTCTGGGAGTGCTTCTCCTTCTGCACCACCTTGGCTTCCATCAATCTGCAGCTCTGGATTATCCAAACCAGAGGTGCTCTGGCTGTGTCCAACAGTCCCTACAGGCACCTTCCTTCATGAATTGCTCTCCAAACCAATATCAATGTTCCCAAACAGAGAAGCCACTAGAGGACACCACCTTGTCTTCTTACTCCACGGGCTGAGCTGGTTTGCAGTGATCTGGAGAGCCAACACAAACTGCTCCTGCCTGTGTTTCTCTTGAAGGCCACAATTCTGTAATTACAGGAAGGTCTCACTGCAGATAAAGGTTGTTACCTGCTCACTGAACAAAGAGGTTGGAATTTAGGCATATCCAATCCTTCTCTCCCTCCTGGCTTGAACATCCACACTTATTTTCTCCTCTGTGAGGGAACAAGAGCCTTTACAGAAGACTCCACCACATCATTCTGCTACTAATCACAGCAGAAGATGCAGTACAAGCCACTGATCCTTTCAAAGCTTCAAATAGAAACACAAAGTTGGAACCTCCTCCAGAACGGCAGGAACTTGCGAACCGGGAGAGCTCTCAGGTGGGTTCTTCTGAAAGCAGCTGGGTCCCACCTGGGTCATGCTCAAAGGAAACAAAAGCATGGGCAGAGAGCAAAGGGGACATTCATTCTGTGAACATGAGCGTTAAAACACAGCGCAACACGACGCGATGCTGCACAACCAGTGTGAAATTTTAGGTGCACAAAGGCAGCAGGACGCTGCCTCCTGCTCTGCAGTGCTCAGCCCCTGCTCCCAGGGCAGGAGAGAACCATCCTCGAAGCAGGACCACGAGAGAGAGAACACGATGGTGGCGATGGCTTGTGACACTAAGCCATGCTGCACATCTCACCAGGAAGCAAATTCATCTTTGCTGAAATTATCACAGGCCTCCACAGCCTCCCAGTGACATGCTTTGGGGACACAATCACTCTGTGTTTTATCCTGGCCAGTGTGCGTGAGCTCAAAAGCCAGCTTTGTCTTCTTACCCATCCGGAGAGAACTTCAGCGGCTTAACTTGGGCTGCAGACTAGTCAGAGCACAGGGGGTCAGCACACTGGAACTCAGCGATGCCACAAAAGGTTAGTTTTTGGGAGGGCATTTAAGGAGAACAGCTTTCACCATTCTCAGATCAAACAGCAGAACAAATCAAACATAGGAGCAATCAGATGAATGAGAACAGGACAGTTTATTAGCATTTCATGTTTGAAGAACAGGGCCATTAAAGCCTGACTGCAGAAAGGAATGCGGGTCCCTTCCCATGGACACCTTTAATATCCTCCTCCTGGGCGACAATCCCAAAAGACATGAATACAAAATGGAATAGACACAGTGAAGATTATTTCTTACCTTCATCTCCTCCTCCATTTCAGAGAGTTTCCGCTCCAGGGCTCGCTTCTCCTGTTTACAAGGATTCATAACAAAGAGGGTCACAAGATTTGAGAAGAAAAATTTACAGTATAGTTTCTTTTAAAGAAAAATAAGAGTCTTGTATTTCTGTAGGAGCATTCACTGAAGAGCACCCCAAAGCAAGGCAGAGGCTGCAAAGCTGTAAAGCTGACTGCCTTTGGTGCATTGTGGAAAATGAGGATTACACAGGTAGGCTCTGCCATGTGAGTGCTGGTGGTGCCCTCAGCTAGAGCCTGTGCCAGAGTGCAGATCTGGACACCTCCAATGACTTTCCCAAAATGAGTGGGCTCACAACACCCCAGGGACGTGCCCTGAGAAGGGAGAAATAGGAAATGTGGGTCAGGAACAGGATTTACACTCTCTGCCCTGCTCCTTTGCCCTCTGCAAAGAGACTTGAGGTTAGGACAGTGAGGAAAATGCAGCTGCTGGGTGTGGCTGTGCATGATGAGTTCTGGGTCACTTTTTGTCCCCAGTGTACTTTGTCCAGGGATTCATCAGTGCAAAATGCATGAGCCATCCTGGAAACAGCTAATGCCATCTTCACTGAGAACAGTCAGGCTCTTTTTTACTCTCTAACTCTCAGAAAGCTGTATTTGTGGCTGCTGTGACCCTAATTCAACAAAAATCAAGCTGGATGTTGCCATAACTTCAACAAGACCAAGCGCAAGGTCCTGCCCCTGGGTTGGCAACCCCTGGTATCAATCCAGGCTGGGGGATGAAGAGATTGAGAGAAGCCCTTCAGGCTTTTGCTTTGTTCCCCCACCAAGCCAAACCAGTCTTTATTTATAAAGGATCAAGAATATTTTAAAGCATAATGGACCAACAGTCTCTTAGTGTGATACAATCCGTTGGTCTGCAGTTTCCTATAACGAAAGAGAGAAATCAGAATGAAGCTGATGTGCAAAGAAGAGCAGCAGAGTCTCAGGCCCTGAAAAGGTCAGAACACAATTATCACTGTGAGCTGGCAAAAATACAACTTATCTTTTAATTAACGCTTTCCTTCTAGAAATGACTCTGCCCTGCACAGCAACACGAGGCAACGACTGCGACTCAGAAGAAAGCAGAGACACGTACCCTCTTCTCCATCTCCAGCATGCTGGACCGGTCAGAAGTTTTCTCCTGTTTCTGCTATGGAAATTAAAAATAGAAAGTGATTAAACCCGAGAGCACTCACAGGGTGCGGCACAAAGGCTGAGACAGCCCACAGATGCTCCTGCCCGGAGAGGCAGCAAGTCTTTGGAGAATCACTCACTTATTTCTGTGAAGAACAACAGTCTCTTCTATAGCACCTTCCCTCCCAAGAGCATCCTTCCAGGAGCTCCCCCCTCCTTCTCCCATCCTGGAACAAGTGTTGGTTCATCATGGGCAGTATTCAGTTCCTCCAGTCAGGACCTGGATTTTCCCTTACCTGGGCTGCTTTTTCCAACTTTGCTTTGATGTCAGCCAGCTCAAGCTGGGCTTCTTGCAGCTTTGACTTCAGCTTTTGATTTTCAGACAGAGCGCTCTCGTACAACTGAAACACAAAACAAGAGCTCAATTACCCAGGTTGCTCCTTGTGAATTAACCCTGTCCTGCTGTGCTGCTCTGAGCAGATATGTGCCCTCAGCACTGAGCTGTGGGGTTGCATTTGCTCCCCCATATGAGGAGATGAGAAGAAGGGCAAACAGAACCAGCCTGGATGCTTTACTTGTGTTTTTGCAAGAAATAAGGAAATAGCTGTTGAATTTTTTAGGGAGTTTATACACAGCCAAGAGGCAAAGAAAAGGGATGTTTTTAGTTTAGGTAATTCTTTACTCAGAAGGTGGTGAGGCTGCCCCAAGAAGCTGTGGCTGCCCCATCCTTGGAAGTGTTCAAAGCCAGGTTGGACGGAGCTTGGAGAAACCTGGGATAGTGGAAAGTGTCCCTGCCCATGGCAGGGGGTGGAACGAGATGAGCTTTAAGGTCTCTTCCAACCCAAATCATTCTGTGATTCCATCAAACAGATAAAATGAAAATAAACTTTCTCTCTGTCTTCCCACAGACTCTCAGGGCAGGTTTCTGCAGCAACAGGCAGGTTCTGGGGTGTGTGTGATGACAGTAACACATTTAAAAACTCCTACTTTTTTGTAGTCCCTGTTACTCTCCTCCTCTGCGCGGCTGCTGAGGGCAGCGAGCCGGTTCTCCCTCCGGCTGTAGGCACTGGAGCGGCTGGAGGCACGGTCGCTGTAGGACGACTCACTGGTGCTGGGGTTCGTAGCTGCTTCCAACCTGGAACAGGATGAAGATCCAGCACCGTGGAGCTGCTGTAACTTGGAACAGCCAGCGTGGACCCAACTGGTTGGGACTGGAGGCTGCGGCAGTCCCGGCTGAGCCGGGGCTCTGGGATGGGTGGGAGCACCTCCATCCACTGCTGGGCATCGCTGCCCAAAACCCGCAGTCATCATCCAATAACAACAGGAAAACACCCCCGGGCACCAGCCCAGCCCCCATGGGCAGTGATTTCCCATGGACCTCTTATCTCCGTGGTGGGAAAAGGCTCCATTTCTAACAGGCCGCTGACGGTTTTTTGTCTCTGCAGTTAAATAATTTAGGGAGCAGAGGACAGAAGCAAACTGGCCCCACAGCTGAGCTCAGGAAAGAACCCAAATGGTCAGATGTGCACTCCCCTGTGCTTCAGGGGACAGGGTTTGGCTTCAAAGCCATACAAAAACATGCTGTCAATAAATATTACATAGAAAAAAAAATAAAGAAAAAAAGAAAATTCTTACCTGGAAAGTCTTTCATGCTGAAGGGGAAAAAAAGGAAAGAAAAAGGGAATTAATAATGAGGAGAATTAAAGGTTCAGTTCAACAACTGCAGAGGTGCAAGGCAGCAGCAATTTCCCACCTCTGATACCAGCACCCAGCTCACGCCAGGCTACACAGAGATTTCCCAGCACAAACTAAGAATCTCCAATCCCTGCCTGAATCTTCATCTGCCTCAGCTCCTCTGAAGCATTTCAAGGTTTACTTTCTTTTGCTCACCTAAGAAATCCTGAACCTTGCTCTTCAATTCCTCATTTCCACAATTGAAATCCTTTCCTTTGAACCCAAACTTATCTACTGTTTCCCTTTTTCAGTGAAGTTATTCTTCCTGCCTTTCATCCCTGTCCTGTGTATGATGCCCGTGAGGGGGATTAACAGACACAGGGAGCTCCCAGCATGTTTGTGTTGAACTTCAGGAAATCACAAACACTGTTTTTCTCTCCATGGGCAAGTACTCCTTGGAGTAAAGCTTCACCATGGCATGGAGAGACACAACAGCAGCTGCAGGAGGGAGGAAGGAGACTCTTAAACCAGGTGGACATGTTGGTTGAAGCCTGTGGGATGTTCTTCTTTCTCTATCAACATCCAAACCTCTCCATTGCCTTTGGACATTGAGGGGCTGGAGCGTGTCCAGAGAAGGGAATGGAGCTGGGGAAGGGTCTGGAGCACCAGGAGCAGCTGAGGGAGCTGGGGGAGGCTCAGCCTGGAGAAAAGGAGGTTTGGGGGGGACCTTCTGGCTCTGCAACTCCTTGACAGGATGGTGGAGCCAGGGGGGGGTCTGGCTCTGCTCCCAGGGAACAAGGGACAGGACAAGAGGAAATGGCCTTGGTAGGGGAGGTTTAGATTGGATACTGGGAAAAATTTCTTCATGAAGAGGGTGCTCAGGCCCTGGCACAGGCTGTCCAGGACAGCAATGGATGCCCCATCCCTGGAATTGTTCAAAAAAGATGTGATGTGGCACTTGTGACATGGGTTAGTGGCAAACATGGGGAATGGTTGGGCTTGATGATCTTAGAGGGCTTTTCCAACCCTAATAATTCCATGATTCTATGAATATCCTACAGCGGCTGGTTGTGGCAAACCACTGTTTTAATACAGTTTTCTGGATCAGACAGTTCTTTCCCACAATTGCAGAAATCCAGTGGTGATGGCATCGCTGTCCTGCAGGACAGTCACCTCCTCCATGAGGTTTCTCTCTGTCTGACAGATATTTACTCAAATTCCAGGTGCATTCCAATTCTTTATGGTCCCTTGGACCAGAAATTGAGCCCAATATTCCTCTGCTGATTTATCAGCAGCATCATTGCTCTGACAAACCTCCCACAGGCACTTCCAGCCATTTCCCTGCATCCTTTTTAATAAAGAGTCAACACAAAAGAACCACAGAGCAGACGAGGGGTCAGGCTTTTAGTGCCCAGACATGCTGGTGCTGGAGCTTGCACTCCCAGCTACACCAGTAAACCCTGTGCTAATGCCTTGCTGGGAGGCAGGTTTGCTGCCTGCCTGGCACCTCAGGGCTTGAACACTTCAGACCTCCCACTCCCACCTGGCACCGCTGCCTCTGATCCTGGGCATGGATCTGGGAGCACATGCCATGGAGAGAGGAATTAACTCACCCCCTTACATGGAGGAGAAGGGGGGACAAGTGACCCGGTCAAACCTCCACTCAAAGCCAGAGGAGCGTGGGGGCAAATCCCTGTCACTGTCTGTCAGGATGTGGGACCAGCTACCTATTGTACCTGGTTACTAAGTTTTCAATCCCTTCCATACTAAATGTAACCCTCATCTTGCATCTGATTCAAGACAGGAGCATCCCCAGGGAACCTGCAATGCCTGGGCTCTGCAGCACAGCCTCTGACACACGACACAGGAGCTGCCCAGCACCAAAGAAATTAACTGAGGGGACCTGGCACGAGTGAAACCTTGTGGATGGAAACACACTCAGCAAAGCTGCTGTGTGCAAAGCTCAAAAGGACAAGCAAGCCCTGCCATGAATCAGCATGTTCTCCCTTGAGCTGTGCCCGCAGGGCCACCCTCAGCCAGGCTTTTGGGTGGGTACAGTGCCAGCCCCACCCTGTAGACACAGCCACTAAAACCCCGAGTTCATCCCAGCCCAGGATTATTTTTTTTGCTCTGACCCTCTCTCTTCTTTGCATCTTACAGGTGAAAAACCTCCCAAGGAAGACAGCAGATGACCTTCCACCACGGCTAAGCTGCACTGCACCTCCAGAAGCCACGTCAGATTCTGTCTGGGAAGCATCTCGTGGGACTCAACACCTGGCAGCTGCCTCATGTCGTGACAGGGACATTGGAGTGCTTGTCCCAGCAGTCATGGCTTGGGCCACGCTCTGTATGAAGCTCAGAGGCAGCAAGTTGGGACACGGTTTCTGTACGGCTGGTCTCCAGCATGGGGCTGTCGTTACAAAGACAGACCATAAACCAACCACATCCTGGGCTCATCCCATAGCGTGGGCAGCAGGAGAGGGGGGGATTCTGCCCCTCTACCCTGCTGAGGTGAGACCCCACCTGCAGAGCTGCCTCCAGCTCTGGGATCCCAATAGAAGAAGGATGTGGAGCTGTTGGAGCAAGTCCAGAGATACTCCGAGAGTGGAAGCCCCTCTGCTCTGGAGCCAGGCTGGGAGAGCTGAGGGTGTACTGGCCACGGAAGAGAAGGCTTCAGGGAGACCTTAAAGCCCCTTTCAGTGCCTAAAGGGACTCTAGGAGAGTTGGAGAAGGACTTTGGACAAGGGATGGAGTGACAGGACAAGGGCGAATGGATTCCCACTGCCAGAGGACAGGGTTAGATGGGATACTGGGAAGAAATTCTTCCCTGGGAGGGTGAGGAGGCCCTGGCACAGGTTGCCCAGAGAAGCTGTGGCTGTCCCATCCCTGGAAGTATCCAAGTCCAGGTTGGATGGGGCTTGGAGCAACCTGGGCTAGTGGAACTCCATGGTAGGGAATAGAATGAGATGAACTTTAAGGTCCCTTCCAACCCAAACCAGTTTGGGTTCTACGAAAGATTTCCTGTTTTCAGCCATGCACACGCTGATCTTACCATGGTGCTTTATTAGCTGAGCTTTCAACATTTGCTTCTTAAACCCCTCAGCAGCCTGACAGCTCCTTTTGAATTCTGGCCCAGTGACCCAACCTTCCCTGAAGACTGGGAGAAGGGAATTAGGCAGTGATTAACAAGCCTCTTGTTGAAAGTTATTTGTGCACTTTATGCTAATCCCCTTCAATGGTGACTTTTGTTAGGATGACAAATGGCTGGGTAAGTAACCCACTCCCTAGCAAGCCTGAATTTATTTCAACAAACACACCTGCCAATGGATTTGAGCTGTGCTGGAAATCCCCACGTGGCTGGGCAAGGCCACGTGGAAACCAGGCACTGAACCGGGCAGGTCCCCTCACCAGTCTGGCCACTTGCAGCACAAGGAAAAACCACTTTTGTTCCCTTTTTTCCTCCAAAGAAACTAAAATTTCCATAGGCAGGGGAGAGCAGGGGCGGGATTCTGCAAAGGAATCAAGAAAGGAATCACTTTAAACATATACAGCAAAAAGGGGACAAACCCAGGATTATTCTATTTACAACCTTCCTGTGATGGTTACTGAGATGGACTTGTTCAGACTGGGACTGTCTCTACGTGTCTAAAGGGAAGCAAAGTGCCAGATGAGAGGGGAGGACCCGCATCATTCCTGTGCTGCTCCCAGCATCGAGCAGAGCCACCCTGCAGTGACCTGGAAACATGGAATCACAGCATCATTCAGGTTGGAAAAGCCCTCTTGGATCACTGAGTCCAACCCTGTTCCCAGGTGTCACATCCACTTGCTTTCTGAACACATCCAGGGATGGGGACTCCAGCACTGCCCTGGGCAGCTGTGCCAGGGCCTGACCATCCTTTCAGGGAAGAAATTTTCCAAAATATCCAATCTAAACCTCCCCTGGTGCAACTTGATGCCATTTCCTCTTGTCCTGTCCCTTGTTCCCTGGGAGCAGAGCATCCCCACCCGGCTCCCCCCTCCTGTCAGGGAGTTGCAGAGAGTGAGAAGGTCCCCCCGAGCCTCCTTTTCTTCAGGCTGAGCCCCCCCAGCTCCCTCAGCTGCTCCAGCCCCTTCCCCAGCTCTGTTCCCTTCTCTGGACAAGCTCCAGCACCTACAGTCACACTGGGGCAGCTCCAAACAAAACCTGGGTGTTCCTTGGTGCTCAGGGATTTCTCTCCCTGTGACTTTATCTCCTTTTAAGCTCATCTCTGCCAACAAATGACTCCAGTGTCTTCCAGAAACAGCAAGGAACCATGGGAATCGATGTGATCGCAGCCGTTGGGGAAGCTGGTGTTCATCGCTCACCTTTCAGCTTTTGGGCCTCTCTCCATGTTATTTCAGTTAAAAGTGGCATTTTTGAGACAAAGATGATTAAGTTTGAGAGACTGAGGTGTGGAAGGTAGAGCCTGAGGGGATGTGACAGCAGCTGTTGGCGTGCCCCTACCATGATGGAAGCTGCAGAAGAGTTTTCATCAGCAGATCCTTCTTCCACTTGCTGCTGCCTTCAGGGAAGGAGGTACAATTTATTTATTTTGTTTTAAATTGGTTTCTGGATCAAGATCTTTCTGAGTTTTGTAAAAATGTCAGTGTTTGTGCTGGTATTTCAAAGAGCAGCTTACTCAGGTGGTTTGGGGGCTTTTTAAAATAATGACGGAGGAGAAGAAAAAATGCTGAATGAAAAATACAGGCTCCATTCTGCATCTTCTAAAAAAGGCCCCAGCTAAAAGAGGTGATGTGGAAAGCAGCAGTTCTCAGCACAAAGAGAGGCTTTGAAGCATGAGGAAATGAGTTAAACAAAATGACAACTAAAATCTCCTGCTCCTGGGGATGGCAGGAGGGGTCTGAGAGGAAAAGTGTGAGCCCTACGTGCAAAAAACTACAAGTCAGCATGTGCCCAGGTGGGCAAGAAGGTCAGTGACACCTGGCTTGTACCAGCACT